CCAGCTAGTGAACGTGCCAAGGCCCTAGACCCTGCAGGGGGCTCTGGAGCCGCCCGAACATGCTTCACTGGGCAAAGACGGGACACCATGAGCACCAGCAAGGTGCTTGTGAAACCTCTGCAATGCTAGAGGATGCCCTCCTTGGCCTGAGCCTTGCTGGATTCTTTGGTTCTGTGATTAGAACACATTTTCTAAGCACATGAGTATAACTTCCAGTTTTGCTGGAAACCAAAAATAATGTACATGATTATGAAGTCTCTCTTTTTTTTTGAGACAGGTCTTGTGCATAGTTCAGGCTGGCCTTGAACTCGTGGGGATCCTCCTACCTCAGCCTCCTGGATGCTGGGATTATAGTATGTGCCACATGGCTGGTGATGTCTCTTTGAAGTCCCACGGGCACCCATTTTGAGTGGCTTAGGCCAATGCACACTTGTACAGATTTAAAGTAAGAGATGTGAAAATACTGGAAAGGAAAAGGAAATTGAACTTCCAACCCCTTAGGAGTAGCTACCCTTTTTTTAGTCATTTTCTTCATGCCAACATTATTTCAGTTTCTTTAAACAATTGGACTGGAAGATGTGGAGTTATTGGTTTGTAGTAGAAGAATTCAGGTCTATTTTTTCTCAGTAGAGGTCTTTTATTGCATCATTAAAATGTGACAAGTTTGGTTTTATAATCTGGAATCTTGTTTCCATAGCTGTCTCTCTCTCTCTCTCTCTCTCTCTCTCTCTCTCCCTCTCCCTCTCCCTCTCCCTCTCTCTCTCTCCCCCTCCCCTTCCCTTCCCTTCCTCCCTCTCCTACAGTCTGGCAAAGAAAGCTGGGGGCCTTCGCGCTGAGCTACATCCCCACCCCTTTCTGTATTTTATTTCATTGTGGTGCTGGGAACCTGGAGCCCTTCGGCCTTCTAAATGAAAACTAATCACATGACTTGAAGTTGTGATCAAAACCCTACTGGAGGGCAGGGGATTTAGCTCAGTGCTTCTGTTGCCTGCCTTGAAAGCACAAGGACCCGAGTTCGATCTCTGGTACCAAAAAAAAGAAAAAAAGAAAAACCCTTACTGGAAACATCACATTTCAGGGTAAATCTGCTTAGCGAGGCCTGAGAAGCCACTGCTGTCACAATGCGCAGGCCTCCGGGAAGCTACTGGCAGTTGTACCCAGCTAGGCCTGGCCCTTCTGACAGCCACACTGCACAGGTGTGGAAGCCATGTAGGCAGGCCTGTCCCACAGTTACGGGCACTGCAGGTGACATCTGTGTGTGCTGAGGATGGGTTTAGGGCTTCACTATGCCCAGCACACGCCCAGCCCTATGAATGGTGGGAGAAAATGGGAGGCTCATAGTTCCGATTTTAAAATTGATAGATGGGGCTGGGGACAGAGCTCAGTGCTAGAGCAATTGGTCCTGGATTCATCCCCAGCAATGCAAAATAAATACAGAAAGTGAAATGGATGAATCAGTAAATAACATCTCTTTCACAACAGAAGAGGGCAAGACTGCAGCGGGCATTGGGAGCCCCAGCTCCTGAGAGCAGGTCTGCGGCGTCCATCCCCCCCCCCCCCCCCCCCCCCCCCACAGCAGCAGACAGCACAGATCAGACCCTAAAATGGGGATCTGAGTGGTCTGCCCATGACTGGAACACACCCTGGGCATGCTGTCTTGATATTTTGTCAGGATAAAAGGCATGGCTGGCCCATGAAATAATGCTTTTGTATTTGGGGAATGGGGTGAGCTCTATGTAGTTCAGGCTGGCCCCGAATTCATGTTGATCCTCCTGCCTCAGCCTCCCTATTGCTGGGATTATAGGCATGCCCTGCCTTGCCTGGCTGTCTCTATATTTTTAACTTTCTCATGTATGTTCTTTAGTCTCAAGGTCGCAGTGCAGCAGTGCTCGCTCAGCTCTGTCTCACCAGGCCACCAGCTTGTGGCTCTCCCTCAGGAGAAGAGGGGAAGAGAGGACAGCTCCCCGGGGCCTGGCAGCCTTTGCCCATGAGGCCCACAGAGTGTGCAGCTGGAGGAGCAGGGATAGCAATGTGGAAGCCACGAGGTTCCAGAAAAAGCCCAGGACCCACAGGCACGTGGCCACCCCCAGACAGACAGGTCAGGACTGGGGACATGGCCGGGAGTGGAGCCTTGGCTCTGAAGGCCCGAGCACTGCTTCCATCTCTACCACCACGAAAACCAGGAAGACAGTGTGAGGGTGGGACAGCAGGCTGTGGTCAGGTCCGGCCTCAGCCTGATAGACAGGATGGGGACACACAGTTCCCTATGAGACCCAGAAAGAGCCAGGGCTGCAGTTGCCTGACCACACCACCCTACAACCAGTCCCTGGAAACCCAGGGCTTGAAAACCCCTTAGGGGGCCTGGGATTTAGCTCAGTGGTTCCGCCACCTGCCTCGCAAGAGAAAGGACCCAAATTTGATCCCCAGTACCAAAAAAAAAAAAAAAAAAAGAAAAGAAAAGAAACCCCTGACTCACCTCTGTGAGGCCTGGGGCCCTGTTGCTGGCCCTTGCTCCTGTCCGGGCAGTGGCGGTGTAGACTCCTGTTGCTGTGGAACAAACCACATCCTCACCTTGCCATTCTCCCCATCAGGCTGGCTGTCCATCTGGGGTCTGGACAGGCTGATGCCTGTGTGTCATGGGGGCCTCACAGTCAGGGCCAAGACCCAGTGTCTCCTGGGCTGTCTACAGAGAGCTCTGGCTCTGGAAGGCTCCCCTGGTGCTGTCTTTTGGACCCCCAGTGGTCTCCCCAGTGGGGAGCTGCCCCTTCCTATCTGCTCTGTTGCACTAAGCTTTGCCCAGTCAGGAGCCTGATTGTTCAGAAGGGTTATGGCCTATGCTCCCCCTACTCATGGGAGGGGCTTGGACCAGTGCAGACATCACCAGGAGTCCGGACAGTCTCGAGTTCTGCCCTCAGCATGGCCAAGACAGGCCATCTTCCTTGTGTGTCACAAGAACCCTGGCAGCTTCAGCCATCTCTGTTCGCCCATGCCCACAGACCCAGTCCTCTGGCTAGACCAAGGCCCAGGCCTCTCCTAGGGGAGCCCAGAGCTTGCTGCTCCCTCTGCCCAGGAGGCAGCTTCCCCAGGCCCTGCCTGGTTACCCACACAGACTGCCTGAGCTGTCCAGCCAAGGAAGCCCTTGCCTGGTTTTGTTTCTCTCTCCCTCTCCCTCTCTCTCTCTCCAGTACTGGAGATTGAACCTGGAGCCTTCACACTGAGCAACATCCCCAGCCAATTTAATTTTTTATTTTGAGACAAGGTCCCGCTAAATTGCTAAGTTGTCCAAGCTGGGCTTGAACTTTTGTTTATTTTTTTCTTTTTTGAGACAGGGTCTTGCTGTCCAGTTCAGGCTGGGCTTGAACTCGCTATGTATCCCAGGCTGGCCTCAAACTCATGGTGATCCTCCTGCCTCAGCCTTCCTAAATGCTAGGATGCACCACTGCACCTTGGTTGTTTTTTTTCTCTTGAGTGTACTTGCCGCCTCAGTATACAAAGGATCAGCACAAGGCCCGGGATTTAGCTCAGTGGTGCCGCCACCTGCCTTGCAAGCAAAAGGTCCTCAGTTTGATCCCCAGTAACAACAACAACAAAAAAGATCAGCATGGAGCTGGGCACAGTGGCACACATCTGTAATCTCAGCACTTAAGGAGGCTGAGGCAGGAGGGTGGCAAGTTTCAGTCTGGACTTAGCAAGACTCTGCCTCAAAAATAGATAGATATGGGCCACGGACTTAGCTCAGTGGTGCCAGGCCTGCTTCACAAGCACAAGGTCCTGAGTTTGATCCCCGGTACCCCCCCCAAAAAAAAGATAAACTGGTGACAGATTAGATACAGCTGGATAGTTGCCCAGTGGCAGAACACTTACCTAGTATGCAGGAGGCCCTGGGTTTTATCACCAGAACTGAACAAAAACAAAAACAAAACCGAATAGACCAGCAGGCAGAGAATAGACAGCGTACTTAGTATTGAACCCTCCAGGTATGCACTCAATAAGTGCTGAGAAAACATCATGGTTTCTTTCTTTTGTTCTGTGGTACTGGGGGTTGAACCCAGGGCCCTCACACTGAGCCATATCCCCAGCCCTACCTATCCATCTACCTATCCATCCATCCGGTCATCCATTTGATACAAGGTCTCACTATGTAGTCCAGGCTGGCTTTTGTTTGTTTGTTTGTTTTGGTACTGGAGATGGGACTTGGGTCCTTGTGCTTGAGAGGCGGGCAGCAGAACCACTGAGCTAAATCCCCGGCTCTCCAGGCTGGCTTTGAACTCACTATACAGCCTAAGTTGGCCTCAAACTCGGTGATCCTCCTGCCTCAGCCTCCCGAATGCCAGGATTAGAGGGGTGCACCACCCCTCTGGGCTTGTTCTTACTTTTTTTTTTTTTTGGTACTAGGGATTGAACTCGGGTCCTTGCACTTTTGCAGCAGGCGGTGAGACCACTGAGCTAAATCCCCGGCCCTTGTTCTTACTTTTTGAGACAGGGTCTCGCTGAGTTGCCCAGGCTGAACCCAAACTCACAGTAGTCTGGAATCACAGGTGTGTGCCACTATGTCCAGCTTTTCTTTCTTTTCCTTAAATTCTTTTACTGGTCCATTTCGGGTGAACAGTACATTTGCATTTATCATCAGGTGCTTGTGCCTGTACATGATGAACCTTGGTTCTTATTTTTTCCCCATTGCCTGTGCGCCCTTCTCCCCCTCCACCCTCCCCTATTTACACAGACTGTGTTTCCATTTTTTCCTTTTCTCATTTTTCCTTTCCCTTCTTTCCTTTCCCATTCTCCTCCTGACACCCCTACACCTTTGGACCTTTTCCTATTTCAAATTATCAATTATTCAATTTAATCATTTTAATCCTTATTTACACTTTCAGTTCAGCTTTTATTTCTTTTTTTTAAGCTATTTTCTGTTGTGTTTTTTCACTTTTTTTTTTTTTTGGTACTGGGGATCGAACTCGGGACCTTGCATTTGTGAGGCAGGCGGCGGAACCACTGAGCTAAATCCCCGGCCCTTTTCACATATTTACTTGTTGTGCAGTGCTGGGGATGGAACCCAGGGCCTTGTGTGTGCAGGCAAGCCACTACCATCCAGCCCACAGTGTGGGTCGTTATGGATGAGCAGAGAGTGAGGCTCTGCCTGTCTGTGTAGTGTCTGGGCCTGAATGAATCTGTGGGACCCTCTGAAGCAGAGGGAGAGACAGAGTGAGAAAGAATGCGTGCGTGCGTGCGTGCGTGCGTGCGTGCGTGCGTGCGTGTGTGTGTGTGTGTGTGTGTGTGTGTGTGTAGCTGTCTGGTTGTGTCTCTGTTCCTGTGGGTTTTCTTCCTGATGAGCCGGGCTTCCTGGAATGTCCGAGTCACCAGGAATGGGTGCCAACATTGGGCTCCCGGCCTTTGAGCCTCGCCTGCCACCCCCCCGAAGGGAGGAGGTGGCCCTGGTCTGGTCTGGTGGGGCTGGGCCAGTGCTTTGGTGGACCCCGGGCCAACCCTTTCCTGGAGGATGAAAATGCCGGAAGCTGAGCTTCGTGGTCACAGTCCGTGGGAGAGTAGACAGGCCAGGCCCTCGGCTGTGGGAGGGGCAGGTGGCCTGCTTGGCACCCCCGGCCGACCGCCCGCTGGTCCTCTCCTCTCCTGTGTGTTTCCTGCTGCCTGCCTGGGCTCCACTGGCCAAAAGCCCAGAGGGCAGGATGGTGGGGATGAGGGTTCTCCAAAGGGTCAGGATTAGCCCAGATGTCTGGATCTGGCTGAGGAGTGAGTTTGATTTTTTTGTGTTTTGAGACAGGGTCTCACTATGTAGCCCAGGCTGGCCTCAAACTGCAGGTGATCCTCCTGCCTCAGCCTCTGGAGTGCTGGGATTACAGGCGTGCATGACCATGCCAGGCTCTGGCTTGTGACTTGGCCCTGGGCTGTGGGGTCTGAAGCAGAGGCCAAGTACATCAGGGAGCACCTGGAGTGAACAGGTTGGGGCCAGGCACCCCAGTTCCTGCTAGCTCAGGCCCTCTCTGCCCAACCTGGGGCCAGGTTCCCTCCAAGGCCCTGGGCCAGCCCTGGATGTCTCTGCCTCCATCCTCTGGAGACACTCAGAGAACACAAGAGAGACGACAGGGTCAGTGGCGGACGGGAGGATGGAGAGACAGCAGAGGTCCCCGGAGGAGGAGGGGCTGCCCACTAATAGAAACCAGTTAGGAAAACAGGAGGCGTGGCCAGGCAGGGCCCAGCAGTTTTGAGGATGCGGGCGGGGCCTGTTTTTCCAGAATGAAGGCCCAGGGAGGAGCAGGGCTGGAGCCAAGCTCAGGCCGATTCCAGTTTGGGAAGGGGCTCATCCAGGCCTAGGTCCATCGGGCCCGGGGCTTCTCTGTCCTTGTGGCTGGTCCTCCCTGTGTCTCCTGTACCCTCCCCATGCAGCAGTGGGTGGAGATGGGAGACTTATCTGAGGACCTGGGGACATGGTAGGGTTCAAGGACACGACCCCTGGCCCCCAGGGATTGGGCTGTGGTTTTTGTGGCCTTTCCGATTTTCCCTTTTTCTCTTTGTCTTGAGGTTTGCCTAAGGAGCAGGAGTGGGTTTGGTGCACAGTGCTTGGTCTGTTATTTCGAGTTTGTTTATGTGACTTTGTAAGTTTTCCAAGAGCTTTTAAATTTGTGCCTTCTGTGGGAAGGAGCCTCCCCTCGCTGCCTCCCTAGGGTCTCCCAGGAGCATGGTAACCTCCATTTGGTTTCAGGGATACCAGGTGGGCCCTGACAGGTGGGTGCCCTGGTGGCCCGGCCACCCATCCCTCCGGCCTCACCCTAGGGTCCCTGCTGTGGCGCTGGGTCCTAGAGGCCGTCTGTGGTCAGCAGTGCTCATCTCATCCTAAGTGAGCCCATGGCCCCCAGAGGAGGGCATGCAAGGTCATCCCAATCTGACAGGGAGGGAACAGGGTGAGCAGGCAGGAAGCAGCTGGGCTCCTGGGGTCTTGGGTACCAGGGTGCCTTTAAGAGGGGAGAACCCCTCAACCCCAGCTCTGGCAGCTGCTCACATAGGGGATGCCAGAGTGGGGGCGTGGGCCCTCAGCCTGGAACCCTGCAGGGCAGGAAGGATGCACCACGGCCCCAGGCTCCGCGCCCTCAGGCTGCCCTCGCGCCCCTCCAGGGGCTGACCCGTGGGCCTGGCCTGGGCCTCTGCTGCTCCTCCCCACCAGCCAGCCCTGGACAGGGAGGCCAAGGAGTGGGCGGGCACAGACTGAGCCGGGACTCTGATGTCACAGCGGTGCCGGAGGGGGAGGGCTCGTCTGTTTTTCTGGAGAGTTAGAGTCAGAGCAGACAAAGCGAGGGGCCAGCAGCAGACGCCATGGAGCTGTGGTCCCGAGTCCTGCTGTGGGAACTTGTGCTTCTACAGAGTGAGTGGGATGGCACAGAGGTCGGGGGCAAGCTGTCGCTCTGGGCAGAACTCCCATGCGGGGGCATGGCACCAGGCCAGGGGCTGCCAGGAGGCCTCAGACAGCCTTCACCAGGAGGTTTTGAGGCCTTCAGGCGGACCCCAAAGCGCTGCCCTTGGGGATGCTGGACTGGACCGGAAAGCCATGGTGGGGAGGCTGAGGTGGCAGCAGCTGCTGTGGGCTCTTCCCTCTGGCAGCCTGGGTCTCACCTCAGACCCAGGCAGGCTGGGTGGGAGCAGGAGGCCCCTCAGATGCGGGGACCGGAGTGGGTCTGAGGGCGCCTGAGGACTTAGGGCCCCCGGCCTGCTGACCCCGCACATTCCTCTCCACACTCCGGGCACTCAGCCACTTCTCTGCGCAGGAACTTGGGCCTGTGAGGAGCTGATGGGGGCTCACTCCCACGTCCACTCTCTGGGCTCCACGCCCTGCCCTTTGTGAGGGCTCCTGTCTCCACAGCCAGGACTTTCAGCTGTCAGAGGGTCTGAGGACCCTGGGGACTCGTGAGCTGTCACCCTCTGCAGATGCAGGAGCCCCTGAAAACCAGGATGTGGACAACCCCAGGTCCTTCCCCAGGGTCAGGCTGAGGAGCCCCGGTGGACTTGGTGTCCACCTGAGATGTGGCCCCTGGTGATGACATGCATGCATTACCTGCAAGGAAGGGGTCCCATCCCAGCCCGCTGCTCAGGCCCTGGCTTCTGCACTCCGAGAGCACAGGCACTGCCCCAAGCCAAGGGAGGCAAAACGGGGGCTAGGCTGCAGGACCCCACCTCCTCTGACCTCTCCAGTGTCACTCTAGGGCCGTGGGAGGGGCCCAGGGAGCAAGTGGCTGACCTTGTTACCAGTCGCTGTGTGCAAAGACCCCTCCCCAGGCTCTCTCTCCTCTCCTTGCAGGCTCCACTGTCCATCTGTTCTCAGGTGAGTGGCCACCGCCCCCAGCTGGGGGCCAGCCCCACCCCTTAGGGTCCCCTGCTGCCCCCTAATCCCCTCTTCCCCACCAGGGCCCTGGGGGCCTGCGACCAGCGACAGCTCAGTGGTGTCCGAGTCTGCCGTGACCGGGGAGGCGGGCAGCCAGGCGGTACTGCGCTGCCAGAGCCCGCGCATGGTGTGGACGCAGGACCGACTGCACGACCGCCAGCGCGTTGTGCACTGGGACCTGGGTGGCCGTCCTGGCCCCGCACGCCGGCTTGTGGACATGTACTCGGCTGGCGAGGTGCGCGTGTACGAGCCCCGGGACCGCGGCCGCCTGGTGCTGTCGCCCTCTGCCTTCCAAGACGGCAACTTCTCCCTGCTCATCCGCGGTAGGCAGCGCCGGGGAGTCCGGGGGTGGCTGGGACGGGGGCGCGGGGCTCACGCCTAGTTCTCTCCTTGCGGGCAGCCGTGGAAGACAGTGATGCGGGCCTGTACACCTGCAACCTGCACCACCACTACTGCCACCTGTACGAGAGCCTGGCCGTGCGCCTGGAGGTCACCGACCACCGTGAGTGCGCCCGGCACTGGCCTTGCCCCGCTGACCCCAGCCCCCCTGACCCCCGTCCCGCTGACCCCCGCTCGCTGACGCCCTTGCAGCCCGGGCCGCGCGCGCGCACTGGGACAATGAGAAGGAGGTGCTGACAGCGGCGCGAGGCACGGCCGCCCTGCTGACCTGCGTGAACCGCGCGGCCGTGTGGACCGAGCGGCACCTGGAGGAGGCGCAGCAGGTGGTGCACTGGGACCGGCAGCCGCCTGGGGTCCCGCACGACCGCGCAGACCGCCTGCTGGACCTGTATGCATCCGGCGAGCGCCGCGCCTATGCGCCGCCCTTCCTGCGCGACCGCGTGGCCGTGGGCGCCGACGCCTTCGCGCGCGGGGACTTTTCGCTGCGCATCGACCCCCTGGAGCCGGCCGATGAGGGCACCTACTCCTGCCACCTGCACCACCACTACTGCGGCCTGCACGAGCGCCGCGTCTTCCACCTGCGCGTGGCCGAGCCCGCCGCCCTCCCGTCGCGCCCGCGCACGCCTCCAGGCCCCAGCCCAGGTGCGTATCCTCCCCTCGGGCCGTGGCGCGGGAAGCGGGAAGCGTGCGGCGCTGACGCTATCTCTGCCCGCAGACCCCACGCTGGCGCGAGGCCGCAGCGTTGTCAATGTCATCGTCCCCGAGGGCCGAGCGCACTTCTTCCAGCAGCTGGGCTACGTGCTGGCCACGCTGCTTCTCTTCATCTTGCTGCTAATCACGGTGGTCCTGGCCGCCCGCCAGCGCCGCCAAGGGGGTGAGGCCGGCTACCCGGGCGGGCGGGCGCGGACGCGGGCACCGGAGCCCTTGACACCCTCACCCTCCGCAGGCGACGACCACGCGGACCAGAAGTCTGCGAAGGCCAAAGGGTGAGTGCCCCGCCCCGCCCTCTAACCCGCCGCCCCGCCCTCTAACCCGCCGCCCCGCCCCCTAACCCTCCGCCTCCTCCAGCAAAGACTTGAACCTGGCCGAGTTTGCAGTGGCCACAGGGGACCAGTCTTCCTACAAGAGCGAGAATCTCCAGCTAGGTAGGGGTTGGGACGCCCAGGCACAGGCCGGGCGGGCCTGGGCGGGGGACGGGGATCCTCAGCTTGCTCTCCCTGCACCAGATTACAAAAACAACATCCTGAAGGAGAGGGTTGAACTGGCCCACAGCTCCCTGCCTGCCAAGAACATCGACCTGGACAAAGGTGAGTGCTGCCCACCTTCAGCCTGACCCAGGCTGCCCCCTCCCAGGTGCCCGGAATGCAGGGCCCTAGCCAGCCCCATGGATAGGAGGCCATTACCATCCAGCTCCAAAGTCCCCAGGAAGCCCTGCCGAGTGTCTGCTTTGTTTCTCACCACGTGGCTGGGCAGAGTAGACCCCAGCTGGTCCTTTGACTTCCAGAGTTCAGGAAGGAGTACTGCAAATAGAGGGATGCTGGGCTCCTGGCTGGGCCAGCAGCTCTGCCCGAGGACTGTGGATGTCCCCAGGCCCTCAGTCGGCTCACTGACTTCCTCCTGGCGGCTGGTCCCGCATTCCTGATGAAGTTGGCCCCGGGCTGGCTGGCACAGAGTGGCTGGGGAACCACCTTTGTTCTCAAGAAGCTACTGTAGGCTTCTGGGGACTCTGCCGAAGCTTGGCTACCACCTTTCAACCCCTCTTGCCAACTGGTGGCCCTACCCCCACAACACATCCCAGATCCCACTGATGCCCTTCAAGCCCTCAGGCCCTCTTGGTCCCTGTCTGCTGGGGAGGAAGACACCCCAGAGGGGACTCAATCAGCTCTCAGCAGACTCGGGCAGCTGGGGTCAGCCTCAGGGCTGGCACCTCACACCTCTGGGGGAGCCTGCGTGGCCTTTCCAGACTGCACCAGGCACCCACATGTTACTCAGAGCCCCACCCAGCTGCCATCTTCCTATGGGGAGACTGAGGACTCCTGCAGTCCACTGCTTTGGGCCACGAGGGGCTGCCATGGCCCTGTGCTTCCAACCCTTCTCCAGCTGTTTTCCATGAGCCGCCTTGACATCACTGGGCTCAAAGTGACTTCTGACACTCAGACCTCTCTCTGGGCGGGAGTCTTGGGCAGGGGCTGCATTTGGCTTCTGTTGTGGCTGAGAAGGGGTGGGGGATGACAACGGGTGTGGGTGGCACGCTGACACCCCATGAGCGCACCTGCGGGGGGAACTGGTGAAACAATAAAGGCCACATCTGATTTTTAGACTTGACCCAGGTGTGCCTCTGCACTCCCTCGCTCCCCTCGGGGCAGAGCCTGGGCCTTGGGAATCCTCCAGTGCCCTCTCTGTCCTGTGAAGTCCATCATCCTGGCTCCATCCTTTGGGAAGGTCTGGGTCCTCCCAGGAGCAGGTGTTCTTCGAGGGCAACACTGGAGCCGATTCCCTGTGTACATCCTGGCAGAGGAGTTCCAGTTCCTCTTCTGAACGAGGAGGGGGACCAGATTAAGACAGGGAGGGGACACAGCCCAGTCATCTGAGGATCAGATGCTGAAATGGGATGGAAGAGCAGAGGCACTCATGAAGGCTTCACTAGGTGCCGGGCTGATCTGGATGGAGACTTGGGCAGGGGCTGGCTGGCACGGTTGGTGCTGCCCCTGCTGGCTCCATGCCAGGGTAGGTCAGGAGCTGGCTGCATGTTCCCCACACCAATGTGGTGGAGGAGAGGGGAGCTGCTGACAGGCACTGAGCTGTTTCCCCACCTTGGCCCTCCAGTGCCCTCCCAGGACAGGGGACAGAAAAGGGTGGCTGTCACCCGAGACCCCAACGATCCAAGGTGGGCAGGAGATTGGCTTGGGAGGTGTGGTGTGCTTGAGGATGCACTTTTATCCCAGCTCCGTAGCCTCTGGCCCCAGTACTGGCCACACTGTCCCTGGACAGGGTCACTCCTGGCAGGGCCCCTGCCTGACCATGTCAGCATCAGCACTATGACTGGCCTGGAGCCTCTCGCCACTGCCCCTCTCCTTGTTTGGGCTGAGTGTCAGGGGGAAGGGAGCTGGAGGGTAGCAGGGCCCAGATCCTGCACTGAGTGTCACCAGTTCTGACCAACAGCCATTGGCATAGGCTGAGGGGCTCCCAGGGCAGGGAATGGCCTCCCCTTCCTTGGGCACAAGCAGAGTCCCCGGGTCAGACCCTCGAAGGCTATGTCCTTCCTGCCTGGCCTTTGGGAAAACAGGGCAGAGGGAAGAGGACCCAGCTTCAGGTTCAAGGAGAGTGGGTGCCCAGGGTAGCAGAGCCCTGCTGCTGTGCCCATCAAGCTGAGGGCCAGGGCAGGCTGCTTGTCCTCAGCTGACACAGGGTGGCCTCTGGCCTGCACTCAGGATCTTCTGTCCTGCACTCAGGATCTTCTGTCCAACCTCTGGGTCCTCCAGGCGGTGGGAGCAACTTTTCTTGGGCCGAGCCAGCACTGGCGATGTTCAGGACCACGCAAATGGAGATTCCTGGGTGACAAGGGGAAACCAGGCGCCTTCCCACGTCTCCTGGGGGTGTCATAGGCATCCGCCTCCCCTACTCTGAACAGCATTGGGCGCCCTCTCGTGGCCTCAAGGCTTCCTTCTAGCGTGAAGGGAGACAGAGCCTCCAGCCCAGCGGGGCAAGTGACTGGACCCTTCAGTGCCTGAGGGGCCCTGGCTGGTTCAATCCACAACGATAAAATCCCTTCGGCTTCAGCGGCCGGGGCGGCACCCCGAACACCCGCGTCCACGCGATCTCCCCACCCACGCGAGCACCACATGCATTTGGCCCGCGCTTCCTGGAGGCCCCGTGGGGTTAGCACTGGGCGCAGGAGCTCGAGGTTGGTGCAGGGTGCAGAGGGACCACGTGTCGCTGGGTCGGGGCGGACACAGTAGCCCTAGTTTCCTACGGTGCAGCCCTGCAGCCCACCGGAGGAGCCCCGGGCGGCTCGGGAGAGGGCGCAGGACCTGGATGGCTTGGCCACGCTCGGGGCGCCGCGGCGGATCTCCGGGATCTGGGGACTCGGCATGTCCCGGGTGGGGCCTCCCTCTGACGGGGCGCGCGCCGCAAGTCTGGCAGAGGTTCCCGAGGGTCCCTCCGCCTACCGGGGGACGCGCCGTCTGCCCACCGGCGCTGATATTAGGCGGGCACGGGGGTTACGGGTTTCTCCGGGCCCTAGCGCGGGGCAGGGCTGGTGGCGCCCGTCCAGGAAGGGGGGGGAGCTCGCATCCCGCCGCTCGCTCCACCCCCAACCCACCATTCGCCCCGCCCCGCCGCTCTCTCGGCGCCTGCGCAGCCCCGCCACGGGCGGCTGGTGACGTCACCGCTCTCGGGCGCCCCCGGGCGGCCGCGCGCTAAGCGGGGCAGGCGGTCCCTGAGCGGCACGGCTCCAGGGGGCGGCGGGCGGCGGCGGCCCTCGGTGCTGCGTCCCTCGCGCCCGTCCCGGGCTGGCGGCGAATGGGCGGCCGCGGGCCGCGAGGCAGCAGTCGGGGCGCGGGCAGGAACCAGGGGTGCGGGGGGGCCTCGGCGAGGCCGGGCGGGGCGCGGGCCGGCAGGCGGGGAGCGCGCCCGGCGTCCGAGCCGCGGGCCGGGCCCTGAACACCGCGCGGGCCCCGCGCCTTCGCCGCGCGCCATGGCGGAGACCAAGATCATCTACCACATGGACGAAGAGGAGACGCCGTACCTGGTCAAGCTGCCGGTGGCCCCCGAGCGCGTCACGCTGGCGGACTTCAAGAACGTGCTCAGCAACCGGCCCGTGCACGCCTACAAATTCTTCTTCAAGTCCATGGACCAGGACTTCGGGTCAGTGGCCACGCGGCGGGCGGGCAGGCAACACCTGTCACCTGGGGTGGGTCCGCGTGGGTCGGGCGGCCTTGTCAGGGTCGCCCGCCCTAGACCAAGACCCCGATTGCCACTCGCAAGCCCGGCCGCGGTGGCCCAGGGGGCAGGCGTGGCCCAGGGGGCAGGCGAACCCCAGGCCATCCCGAGCCCGCGGTCCCAGCGTGGCCTGCCCTTGGGAGGTGGCAGTTCTGGGGCTCAGGCCGGCCTGGGTCAGGAGAGTATCACGGGGTGGACAGGTACCAGCACCCACCGGATCCCTAGGGGGACTGGACATGGAGCGGCACAGGGACAGCAGCCTGCCTGAGGGCCTAGCAGAAGTTTCTGGAGTCTCAAGAGAGACTCCCTCCGGCGCCCTCCTCCAGGGTTCCCAGGACAGAGCAGAGGTCGGGGGTCACAGGGATCCTGCAGTTTCGCTCCACCCCCTGCCCTGAGGCTCCTGGCCACCTGCTGACTCAGGGCAGCCTCAGGGCTGGTAGAAGGAACTTGTCATTTGTGCTGAGGAACTGGGAGCAGGAGCCCCGCCATCCACTAGAGGCCTGACCTGGGTCACAGCGGCCAGTAACCCGAGTCCCCAGCTCAGCATTATGCTGAGCAGGTGTGCCTAGTGCCCTCAGGCAAGCGGTGTCCTTGCGTGTGGCCCTGTCTTGGGGCTTTGACGTTGGTCTCCTGTTTCCTGGATTCTGTAGTTCCATGGTATGGGTAGCCCGCATCTAGTCAAGCTTGGGCCACTCTGTGCTTGGGGCCTGAGGTCAGGTGGGCAGACCCTGGCCAAGGAGGAGCAGAGAGGAGCATATCCCGGGCAGTCCCCCTCAGAGCTGGGTGCTCCTGCTGGTGAGTTCGCCCCAGGGATGGCTCTGGGGTCTGCTCTGCCTGCCTTCCTGCCGGGCCTCACGGGGTCCCTTCACTTCTAAGGGCCTTGTGTCCCTGGCCTTGCACAGGAAGTGTATGGAAGAGCACCTGGGATTTCAGTTTATTTTTTTGACAGGAATCACCAGTCACAAGTGCTCTTCTTCACAGACTCTTGGCATTGGTGAGCCTGTGCCAAGGACCATGTCAGCCCCAGGTTGCTGCCTGGCCCACACTCTGGACTGTGTCTTGTCTGCCCTCTCCTCATGACATCTGTAAGGGGCTGTCTGCCCCTGGGCTCCAGCAGAGCTGCTGCTAGGCAGATCTGGGGGGCTGTAGTACCCTGGCTGAGGGGGGTGGGCACTCAGGGCTGTGACACAGGAGATGGCCTTCGGGGGCCTGGGCAGGCTTGGGAATGGTGTTGTGTCGTGTGGGAGCCGGCAAAGGGCTTGAGGAGAACTTGGGGACCTCTGGTATGCAGGAGAGCCAGGAGGTGGAAGGCAGCTGAGATGAGCTACAGGACAAGGCCTCACCTTGCTTCCTCCTTGGCCCTCTGGCTGATGGCCTGGTGGCCTCAGGAGCTGGGAAAGGATTCCATCATCTGTTTTCTTCTTCCTTCCCTTAAGTTCTCCCTGTAAACTCCAAGGTCTGTCTAGTCTATAAATCCTTTATTTAATAGAATAAGTTCTTAGCAGAAGGGCTGATCAGTCATTCACACTTTAGTGTAAAAGAAAACTGAGCTGGGATCTTGCTCTGGATCCCAAATGAATGTAGCTTGACACTTGGGGAAGGGAAGGCAGGTCTTGGCTGATTGGGGACAGTGGCCCAGGGTGGCCTCTGACTGGAGGCTGAGCAGTGTGCCCTTGTGAGTCTTAGAGTCCTGCTTCTACTCCCAGACTGCTGTGGGCCAGCCCTGGGTTCCCTATACCTCTGCTGCCTTGCCTAACAACAGCTATCTGGGCCCTGCTCTGCCTTTATGAAGGCCTCCCTCCTGCTCCCCACTTTTCTTTGTAGTACTGGGGATGAACCCAGGGCCTTCACGCTGAGCTACATCCCCAGCCCTTTTCTTATTTTTATTTTTATTTATTTATTTCATTTCTTATTTTTATTTTGAGACAGAGTTTTGCTAAGTTGCCCAGGCTGGGTTTGAATTTGCAATCTTTCTGCCTTAGCCTCCCAGAGTGCTGGATTCAGGTGTGCACCACAGTGCCTGGCTCTGTCCCCCACTTTTCATGTGTAGGTGACGGCTGTTCTGACCCTGGACCCCTGGGGGTTGGGGCAGAGTCTCTGGGCCTCTGGTGTTGGGTCTGGTGATAGTCAGTGTGGGGTGAGGTTGGCCTTCAGTCCCCACTGCCAGGAGATGTTGCCGACACAGGCCTACAGGCTTGGTGTCTGGCTCATCCACTCTTCTCCATGGCCAGGGGACCCAGGCCCAGGGCTGGATGGGTGGCTCGGGTTGGGAGTGGGAGCCCTGGACTCTGCTGCCTGCCAGTGGGCACAGATGTTCTCTCAGCCCCATGTGCCTGGGGCACTGGGGGGGGCTGGCTGTGGCCCCTGAGCTCTGATGGTCTCTGTGACCTCCGCTTCCCCAAGCTGGGAGGCCCAGGTGGGTACAGCGCATACCCCAAGTCGGGAAAGGATGCAGAGCAGCCCAACTACCTGCTGCATGGTGACTGGGGGCTGGAGCTGGGCAGTGGGTTCCTTGGGCTGAGGGTCGGCACACACCGAGGCTTGTGCAGCTGGGACCCTGACTCATGGGGTTACAGGGGATGGGTACTGGGGCTCTTGAGTACTCTGGCCTCTGTAGCCCAGGACCTTTCTTGGCCAGGCCCTGCTAGACTCTGAGGGCCCTGTTTTGGAGTGGATTCCTTCCTGAGGGGTGGGTGGGAGGCAGAGCCCAGGGGCCACAAGTTCAAGGTTAGCCAGGATGCTCCAAGAATTCTGAGGTGGGGTCCTGGCTGGCCGCCCTGACTCCATGGAGCCTGCTCCTGAGCCTGTCCCTTCACCCCAGAGCCCATGCATACTGGAGCCCCAGGGTTGTCTGGAGTCTGGGCGGTGGCTCCTGTCCCCTCCCACCCCCGAGGCTACACTCTGGAGCTCCAGAGAGATCATGCTGGCAACTGTGGGCTGCCCTGCCCATCCTGGAGACCACACCTGCCCTCCACTGGGGGCTCTGGGACCTGTGCCCTGCTAGCTGGGCCAGGAGGGTCTGTCAGCTGCCCCCTCAGTCCTGGCTGCTCGCCCTCCTTATGCACCTAGGGCCCCACACCTGGTGGGGGTAGCACTGAGTCCTGCTGGCTGGGCCGGGCCAGGAGACCGAGGCCTTTGGTCCCTGGGAAAAGCATCCTCGTAGTGTTGGGAGGTGCAGGGACCTTCATAGCCCTGTCATCTTGAGGCCCTGGCCGCATGGGCAGTGGAGCTCAAGGCCAGCCTAGGTGATGGGAGAGGCAGGGCCTGTGGGGAGCCAGTGGGTGCTGGGCTCCCATCTGTCTCCCAAGCTGAGCCACACAGGGCTGCAGCTGGGCCTGGCAGGGGGCAGGCTGTTGGCTGGCCCACTGGGGCTGTGATGGGGTGGAGGCAGGGGTTCCTGGGGGGTGACTGCTGCAGACCTTGGAGATGGAGAGCTCGCTAAAGTCTGTGGTGCATTGGCTGCGGCAGGGTCCACTCCCTACCCAAGGAAGCCTAGGCCTGGTGTGAGGGTTGTGGCCTTCCAGGGAAGCTAACCTAGCTGTGCAGGGCTGTGGGTCATGGGTGAAGGCACAGGTGCGAGGGGTCCTGAGAAGTGACTGTCTGCCTATTGGGGTGTCCACCTCATTGGACAGGGCCCAGGGAGGCACCTGGAGCAGTGACAGGGCTATAGAAGGCCGGCCGGGGTACTTCTTCCCTCCCAGGCTGGCCCCATCTCTGCTGTCTGCTCGGTCCTAGGCCTGGGGCCTCTTGGCGAGTGTCTGGAGTGGGGCCTCACTCCCTGGGTGGGATGGGTGCCTGCTGCACTCAGACTGCCTGCTGCTGCCCTGGACAGGGCAAGCCAAGGTGTCCTGGGGCTGATGGCCCTGCTTCTGGCATTGGGCCCATCGGGCCGTGAGGCTGCTTCCTGCCAGGTGCTCGTCCAGGCCCAACGCAGTCTCCCAGCTCCTGTTTCTCGTCTGGCACAAGTCCCAGGTGTGGAAAATCCCTCAATGCTTCACAGGGCTGAGCGCCAGTGGGTGGGGCGTCAGGGTCCCAGCTCCCGCCTACCACTTGCCCTGAGCTGAGCTGGTTGCTGTCCTTGCCCCTTTGAACCCTGATCAAAGGAGGTCATCTGGCCTCCTTCCCAGTTTGTTCCTTTGCCTGATCCTTGGCACCTTACTTGGGTCCTCTATGACCTTGCCCCAGGGGCAGCAGGAAGACAGGGCCAGGTGTGGATTGTGGCCAGCTCTGTCCCCAGCTGGCCTGGTCGTCAGGGGGCAGAGCCCATGGCTGTCTGAGAGTTGGGCCTAGTCAAGGGCATAGGTGGGTAGGTGGGGAGCACATAGGAGAATGCCAGGCTACCAGGTGTGGGGACTTGGGAGCAGCGTGAGGAGCATCAGACATGCTCCTCCAGGAGGCAGCTGCAAACCTGCAGGCTGTCGGGAAGCAGGGGGGTTGTTCTGGAAAGGGCTGGAAAGTGGGGCCGAGGGGATGGGTGTGGGCCTAGGATGAAGAGCGGAGAAGAACCAAGTGGGAGTACTGGATCTGAGACAGGGAGGCTGCCTGGCCATGGGAGAGCTGAGTGGGCAGCTGCCGGGTCCCTAGGAGAGGGTGCAAGGTCGGAGACTGGCTTGGGATGGAGCTGGGTGCACGTGTGTGGACAGGCCCAGTGAGGGTGCTGCAACACTGGCCTCATTCCCGGGCGCCCTTCCCTCTGTCTGTCCCCCTACCTGCCCAGGCTGGAGGTGGATGGGAGCCTCAGGCCGGCCCTGCATGAACTGTCCACCGCCACTGTCCCAAGTGCTGAAGGGCCAGCACAGGGTGGAAAGGGCCTAGGAAGAGAAGGTGCTGGAGGGAGATTACACTGGTGCCCAGGTCCTGTGCTGGGCCTCACACCCACCCGTCCACAGGGTGGTGAAGGAAGAGATCTTTGATGACAACGCCAAGCTGCCCTGCTTCAATGGCCGAGTGGTCTCCTGGGTGAGTCCTGTGGGCACCCGACATGTTGATCTGGGCCCTGGCATCTGCCATGGCATGGGCCCTTCCCAGAGAGGGGGTGGGGGTGGCACTGGGCTCTGGCAGGTCGGACAAGGGTGGGACAGGGCCCCGGCAGGCTGGCTGTCCGAGCCCTCACTCTCCTTCCACAGCTGGTCCTGGCCGAGGGTGCTCACTCAGACGCCGGGTCCCAGGGCACCGACAGCCACACTGACCTGCCCCCGGCCCTCGAGCGGACAGGTGGCATCGGGGACTCCCGGCCGCCTTCCTTCCAGTAAGGCTGTGGGCTGAGCTTCCGGGTCCCCTCGAGGTCCCTCTGGGGGCACGGGCTGGCGTCTTCTGAGGTGCTGGCCGCCCAGCCTCCCCGTGCCCTCTTCATCTGCACAGCCCAAATGTGGCCGGCAGCCGCGATGGGATGGACCACGAGACCGGCTCAGAGTCCGTGGTCAGTCGCCGGCGGGAGCGAGCCCGGCGCCGGAACCGTGAGGAGGGTACTGTGGCTCGTCGGCCTCCCTGGGCACCCCGTGGTGGGCCCCATGTCCCTGCCCGTGCCCTGAGGTCCCGGGTTGGAGGGCTCGGCCCCGGTGCTCCTGCTAGCCGCTGGACCGGCAGGCGCCAGAGGCTGCACAGGCCCCATGTCAGCGCCCAACTGCTGGCCCACAGCCACGCGCACCAATGGGCACCCAAGGGGCGACCGGCGGCGGGACCTGGGGCTGCCCTCGGACAGTGCATCTGCTGTGCTGAGCAGCGAACTGGAGTCCAGCAGCTTCGTGGACTCAGAGGACGACAGCACGAGCCGGTGCGGCAGGGCCCGGGCCCCGTGCGCGGCCAGCCTGCGGGTAAGGAGGCGAAGCCTGGACCCTGACCTATGCCCCGCCCCGTCCGCCCCCGCCCCGTCCCCGCCCCAGGCTGAGCAGTTCCACAGAGCAGAGCACCTCCTCTCGGCTTATCCGGAAGCACAAGCGCCGGCGCAGGAAGCAGCGCCTGCGGCAGACAGACCGGGTAGGCAGCGGGGCCTGTGCAGGCGGTGGGGCACGTGAGCAGCGGCAGTGTCTCACTGGGCCCCTCTGCAGGCCTCCTCCTTCAGCAGCATCACTGACTCCACAATGTCGCTGAACATCATCACCGTCACACTCAACATGGGTGAGGCCTTGGAGGCGGGCCCGGCGGGGCGGGGGCGGGGG